AGAAAGCAAATGTTTGAGAATGATGATGGCAACAAATGTACAAATGTGCTTGATACAATGGATATATGTATGGATTGTGATGAGTTGTGCGAGCCCCCAATAAAATGATTTAAAAAAATAAAGAAATTGAAGGTAAAAAAAATTTAAGCTATCTGGAAGTCTGTAAATCCAACTATTGAAATGGTGTCAGGAGAGTTTTGTTGATGTTTTTCATATAGATTGTATGCTATTCTGGCTAGAAAGCCTCACAGCTGTTTTATGCTTTTTGATGCCGTTCGTATTCTCAATGGGGTGCATTTTATAGAGATTGAACAGGATAGAATTCAACACTGCAGTGCAGCCCTGAGGGTCCACATGGTCACCTGAAGGTGATGACTCCTCACTCGCAGGCAGCAGGCTTAAATCAGAACTCACTTCACATCATTCAGGCTGGAATCCTGGTTTCTTTACTTGAAGAGTGGTGATCTTCAACCTCAACTAACAGTCCTTACTTCTAGGGACTAAGCCAAGCAATATCTTTTTTGACTTTGTCTTTACTGATTGAATGAATGTGACTATTAAAATCAGGTAAGAGTTGTAAAACGACATTGTAAACTATGTTTACTATTATTGCCACTTTAATATTCTGATAGTCCAGTGGTCCCTCTACACACAATTCACAAAACAGAAATGAACTTGGATCACAAGTTAGAAAACAAAAATTTAAACAGTAAATGAAGTAATTGCGATAAAAATCTCCCCTTCTCATGTCTCTAACACTACAGAATGATCAAAGAAACAGAAGGGACATTACTTGGTTAACCAATTTGAAACATTTTAGCTTCAGACTAGACAATTAAATGCTTCTGTAAGTGCACTTTAAAACTGTATTAATAAAAAAAACTGTATTAATGGTAGGTGGTAAGAAAAGATCTTTAACTGTAAAGCTGTGATTTTCTTTGTTATTTTCAAATATTATCTACAGTATATTTGAAGATTGACAGATGGTTACAGTTTTAAAGTTCTATATATACAATAAAGCTTGTAAAGTCTAGAACCTGTGTAAAGTGTAAACCTGCCACAAAAGGAAAAGTCAAATATTTCCCACCAATAGAAAATGATAGAAAAGTGGTAAGACTGCACCCTGTCAACAGCAGAATGCTTGTGAGCCCAGAGAAAATATGGTGGCTCCGTTGAGTTTCAGCTCTCATTACAAATAAATTGAAACACCCTTAAATTTAGAAATTATATACAATACAAAATGTTTTTTCTAAACTATTTGAGATAGGTTGCCTGTCAATACTCTTGTGTTGAGATTATCAAAAGTAAGAAATTAATATTGATACAATGTAGTCAGATGTTCCTCCAATTCATAGTGACTTCAAGTACAACAGAACATAATATTGCCTAGTCCTGGGTCATCTTCAATTGGTTGATTTATAAATTACTGCTATTTAATCCTTAGATATCCACTTAAGCTTGGCCAATTATTTCCTAAATGTTCTTTATAGTTAAGTACAAGGATCCAGTTTAGCACCATGAGTTGTATTAGTTCATATCTGCATAATCTCCTTCAATCTGGAACAAGGCTTTCATGTTTGATTTTCATGGTCTTAATCTTTTGAAGATGACAGGTCGGTTGTTCTATAGCAGTGGTTCTCAACCTGGGGGTCGAACGACCCTTTCACAAGGGTCTCCCGATTCATCACAGTAACAAAATTACAGGTATAAAGTAGCAACGAAAGTAATTTTATGGTTGGGGATCAGCACAACATGAGGAACTGTATTAAAGGGTCGCAGCATTAGGAAGGTTTTATTAGGGGTTCATACAACTGCTGTAATCGGAGAACCATTATTCTATAGAATGTTCCTCAACTTGGGCCTGATTGATTCAGCTTATTCCCCTCTGAGAGGACTATCACAGAAGTGAATCTTTTTAAAAAATCATTTTATTAGGGGCTCATACAACTCATCACAATCCATACATATGTCAATTGTGTAAAGCACATTTGTACATTCACTGCCCTCATCATTCTCAAAACATTTCCTCTCCACTTAAACCCCCGGCATTAGGTCCTCATTTTTCCCCTCCCTCCCCGCTCCCTCATGCTTCATGAGCCCTTGATTATTTATAAATTGTTATTTTGTCATATCTTGCCCTGTCCGACGTCTCCCTTCACCCACTTTTCTGTTGTCCGTCCCCCAGGGAGAAGGTCACATACAGTTCCTTGTAATCGGTTCCCTCTTTCCAAACCACTCTCCCTCCCTCTGGTCTAGCCAGACTTGCAAGGTAGAATTCGTGTCATGATAGTGGGAGCGGAGAGGAAACATTTAGGAACTAGAGGAAAGTTGTATTTTTCATCATTGTTACATCGCACCCTGACTGGCTCGTCTCCTCCTCGAGACCCCTCTGCAAGGGGATCTCCAGTGGCCTACTCATGGGCTTTGGGTCTCCACTTCGCACTCCCCCCATCATTCACTATGGTAAGATTTCTTGTTCTGATGATGCCTGATACCTGATCCCTTCGACACCTGGTGATTGCATAGGTTGGTGTGCTTCTTCCATGTGGGCTTTGTTGCTTCTGAGCTTGATGGCCGCTTGATTACCTTCAAGCCTTTAAGACCCCAGACGCTATATCTTTTGATAGCCGGGCACCATCAGCTTTCTTTGCCACATTTGCTTATTCATCTGCTTTGTCTTCAGCGGTTGTGTCGGGAAGGTGAGCATCAAAGAATGCCAATTTAATAGAAGAAAGTATTCTTGCATTGAGGGAGTACTTGAGTGGAGGCCCAGTGTCCTACAGAAGTGAATCTTATCAGAACATGTATAATTTCAGTTTGTCCCATATCACTGAGTCAAGCTCATTTTGATCACTGATGTCGTCTCTTCTCTGAAATTCTTCTTTACTTCTTTATAATTAATAAAAAAATGTGTGGGACATCCTGGCCCACCAAGTCCTGAGGGTGATATTCCTGCTCAGAGCAGACAATGCACAGAAAGAATAACAGGGCCGGCCCTACCATTGTGTTGTATGAGACACAACGTCCCTCACTGAACCATAATGCTATGGGGGACAACCCTGGAGACACAGTGCAGGAATTGTACCCGCTCTGACCCCATCACACCAGGGCAAAACACTAAGGACATGCAACAGAGCAACAAGGGAAGCAAAGCAATAAAGTCCCTAGGGGATACCAACAATAGACTTTGGGGCCAGGGTGGCACCCTATCAGACTCGACTGGAAAACACTCCTAAAGGTAAAACACAGACCTGGAACTATTTATAGGATTTTCCTTTTTAGTCATTGGCTTT